TGATGGATTTCAGGCATTTCAATGATACGTATATATATATATGTATCATTGAAATGCCTGACGTAGCATTAAAATGAAAGAAACCCTAAGAAGCATGGTCACAGGGCAGGCTGTGATTTATTCGAAGGCAAGTTTGCTCAAATATATAGGGAAGGGGACGAGGCGCAATGGATAAGAGGCAAAGTTTGGAGTTGGGAGGGAGCAGGTTGAAATTGCAACAAATCTCTTAACTCTTAATTACTTTGAGTAAGGAGTCCTGCTCATTTCGTTGCTTGGATAAAATTAGCATAAAGAGGTAGCACGTAGCTGACATAGGAACAACAGGGATAGCATTGCGATCTGATGTGGTTATACAACATTGGACGACAGGAACAGCCATGTTGTTTGAGGCTGGCACTTATTAGGTCAATATTCTGCCCTTGAACCACCCGATAGCGGACAATTCATTGCAATAATCAGCACAGATTACAATCTCCACTTAGAATGTTGCACGAGCGCCTTCAAATCCAGCTCATGAAATTCATCTGATTGGCGGAATCCCCCTGTCATAAGGAAAACCTTTACCTGCATCGGAATAACACGTGGTTAAGGAAGCCCTCACTTCAAGTCCGACTCGCTTGAAAGGTACTTACGTTGGCGTGTGATAATCAGATGGCCTTAAAATGCACCTGAATAGGTTAACTCATATTGCATTAAATCGATCTGAATTTTATTGATTTGAATCGCTTAGAGTGTATCTGATTCAGATCCGTTAAGTCGAAGTAAATGCAGTGCAATCTAGCCATAACGGTTCAACGTGGAATGCTCTTCCGATTAAAATATTTTTATTTGAAAACCGGCCTAAAACCCATATCAGATTTGCAACTTGTTCGCGCATATCTTTTCCAGTTATTGTTATTTTTTAAGTATACATGATTTTAAGGAATTTTTTATAGAGCAAAATAAAGCTACCAAAAGAAGACATGATTTAACAACCTATTATATTGCGCATTGCTCTTAGTTGTTTTAGGGGGAGGTATTTACTTATGTTGCAGTTCATTGTCACGAAATGATTTAAACAGCCATGTGATACATTATAGTATAAGAGCTTATAGATTTTCGATGACGGATTTGCAAGACATGAACATTTGATGAGTTACAGAGATTCCTGAAATTATCTTGCTGCTAGGTTTGAGGATAATGTCAAAGTTGATACTGTAATGACTCAAGAGGCATAGGCAAGGGTGAACAGTGGAGCAGGGCGGTGGAAGTTTCTCAGCTTATACGGATGAGGTTAATGCAGATCCTAATGGCCTTAGTATTTAGCAAATATTTCTGTCATGTAAAGCAGGTTGAAGGCGTATTTGGATGGCACGAATGAACGATTCCGCCATTATTAATTGATGATTCATATAATGATTCATATAAATGATTCTTCTTTGCCATATTATTTGAGTTGCTTTCGCCAACGCTGATTATGATGTTATCATTAAATAAAATAGGAACGAAAAAGTGCAGATATGGAGCTTGACAAAAATAGGGCGAGTTGAGTCAGCTGGACCGGCACAGAATAGTGACGCTGAATTCAAGGGTCTATAAACTCTATCTAATTATGACAATATAATCGCAGTGGGGGACATCATGCTTACTAAGGTCTATTTCATGAATGCCACGTATTGAAATTCAGCCCTTTCTTGATAATGTGGCTATAACACGACTACCGCGATCCCATAACTTTAAAATTGAAGAACGATGATCTGCGTTAGCAAAATAAATGAGCCCCGCATGGGTCCTCACCGAAGTTTCCATGGACTACCTCGAGACTCTCGCATGTAGAACAACAACTGAAAAACGAAACCGGCAAAAGGTGTGTGAACGAAATATTCGCCGACTGTCGAGAGAGACGGTAAACCGGTTCCTGACGTCTAAACTTTCCATCCCCGACAAACATCGCCCTCACGATTTAAATCCAAGAAGACAAAGTCTGACCCGTTCTTGAAGTACCGGAATCCTGAGCAACAGGGATTTATGCTACAGAAGCTAAAACGAGGTGTTTTCTGC